GTCCCGTTACTAGACCGTTACTAGATTGGACTCGTAGTGATCCGCCTGTTTATAGCCTCCCAAGAGCTGGGATTACAGGTGTGTACCACCACGCCCAGTCTCAGTGGCTGTCTCACTGTGCTCCAGGGGCGGGGCTGGCATGGCAGGCCCAGGATTGAACCCCCGGCCCCTGTGCCTGCTTGCAGGCGTTTTAATCCACTGATCTATTTGGTCGGCCCCCCTTCATCTTGTGAGTGGTGCCTCTGTGAAGCCCTGTGGCTTCCAGGATGAAATGAGCATGGCCTTCTCCAGGCTGGCTTGATTTTTTATTTTATTATTTTTGCAGAAGTGGGGATTGAACTCAGGATCTTGCACTTGCCAGGCAAGTGCTTATTCTACTGAGCTATCTTCCCAGCCCTCAGGCTGGCTTGAAATTGCTGTACTTTTGTGAAGATAGTAGTTACCACTGCCCCTTGTTGTGGGTTTGTGTATATATCTTATCTGCTTCCTTGATTTTAAGTCCATGTTTGCCTTTAGCTTTCCATTTCTTTTGAAGCTAGGCAGAACCTGGTACAGTCTCATGCTCCTGGAATGCTGTTTGAACCTGCAGTTAATTATTGGAAGAGAATGGAAAACCAAAGAAGTTAGGAGGATCAGGTGTAGGGAAAAACAAATACTGACTGTGAAGCTGATCTGAAATATAAACATTGAGAAAGATGTGAAAAGCAGGAGGAAAAACATGAGCTGTTCTTTTTCACTCATTTAAACATTTACTGAAGATATGTTATGAAGGTCAAAGAATGATGGTGGGAGTATGGGAGGTGAACACACAATTTGCATTCTGCATTTGGACCCTGGAAGCGTTGCTTACAGTCTAGTAGAACTGGCAGTTCATGTAAATAAATAATTTTAGTATCTGTGGTACATTGCCAACTGGTAGTCAGCTCATTACACCAAGCTGACCTGGACTAGGATAGTGCTGCTGGCAGTGGAGGCCCACCTGAGGAGTGTTGGCAGCAGCAGAAGAGGCAGAAACTGTGGGGAGTTTACGGGGGTGCTGTTGGAAGCTGCTGGTTCCCCTGGGCTTTGGGGGAGCTCTGGCGCTTACCTGGAGCATCGCTCCCTGGCTCCAGGGCAGGTCTCTCCCTGCTGGCCCAGATCCTCATTCCTCTGGCACAGCCTTTCTAGCTCCTGCCACTGACCTTTGGGCCTCTGCAGTGGAGATCCATGACGCCGGGCTGCATAAGACACTGCCATGGGCTCCATGGAGTTGGATTTGTGGGACGCATCGTTAGGAGCTCTAAATCTGCAGCTGGACTCATGCAGGAAGTTAGGATCCAGGCCCTCAGCTGGATTCTTTGGTCCTTAGTCTGTAGACAGATTTCCTGCACTCCTTGTATGTGATTCTTTGGGTGATTTGTTATAAAATAATCTTATAAAATTTGTCATGTATTGTATTGTTCCTCTTGCAAAAACCCCAAACTACACCAGTATCCTAGGATAATAAATGTTTTAATCAAAACACTGAGCTTCTTGGGGAGGGCATAGGTAACTTAAATAGGGAAGGTAAAGACGTTGGGTTTCAGTTGAATAAGTTTTGGAAGGAATTTTTAGTTGAAGGGAAGAACCTCTGCAAAGTAGCAGAAATAATGAAAATTTCAAATACTACCTGGACTGGGACCGCCATGCCGGCCCTGCCCCTGGGCGTGCTGAGAGGGCAGTTGGGACTGGGTGTGGTGGCACACACCTGTAGTCCCAGCTCTTGGGAGGCTGTAAACAGGCGGGTCACTATGAGTTCGATGTAGTAGTGAGACCCTGACACCCTGTAGACCCTTCCGTAAAAATACAAAAAATCAAAACAAAACAAAACTGAAACAAATGCTACCTGGAAAGGTGAGAGAATTTATAAGCAGCAGGCTTGTATCAATTATAAAGTCCTGGCCCTGAGAGGAAGACTTTTTCAAAATAATATAGGGAAAAAGAGACAATTAGAGATAATTCTTTTTTTTTTTTTTTTGGCGGAACCGGGGATTGAACTCAGATCCTTGCCTTTGCCGGTCAAGCGCTTATCCTACTGAGCCATCTCCCTGGCCCCAAGAGATAATTCTAAAGTGATAGAAACCGTAAATTTAGAAGACAAGACTAAAAATTTTAAAAAAACATGTATATGCAATAAGATTCCCTAAAGGAGAAAGTGAAAACATCAAGGTGTGTCAGCAAGATACTCAGTGGACAAAGCGCTGCTTTGGCAGCCTCAGGGCCCAGGGAACCCTGGTCCTGCATGCTGCGCTGGCCCCGCCCCGGGACTCGCTGATCTGGTGACAGAGGCCTGGTGTGGTGGCACCTGCCTGTAATCCCAGGACTGGGGCGGGGCTGAAAACAGGAGGATCACCACAAGTCTGGTCTGTGTAATGAGACCCTGTATCAGATACACAAATTAAAAAAAAAAAATCAAGGCAAACAAATTCTTGTTTTGGGGGGTTATTTTTAAATGATTATTTAATTAATTTATTTAGTACAGGGTCTCACTATGCAGCACAGACTCATAGTGATCCTGCTGCCTCAGTTTACCCAGTGCTGGGATTACGGGCGTGCACCACCACTGTACCCGGTTTCGGTGGCCGGCAGGGCATGTGGGCAAACCCAGGACCTTGCACTTGCCAGGCAGGCGCTTAGATTGCTGAGCTACCTCCCAGCTCCACAAGCAAATTCTAAACACTGTGGTAAAACTTCTTTGAAAGACTCAGAACTTGAAGCTATATGTTGAAAGGACAAACTGCCCAGAACGCATCTGAGAGTGTTCAGTCCCAAGCCATATTCTGCACAATCGTTGGAAATTGATTATGTAGACCCAAGCTCTGTTACTCATGAATTAAAGAAAAGAAGATGGTATCAGACTTTGCAAGAACACTTCATGACAGCAGATAGAAAGAGTAACATTTTATGTACTCAAGAAAAGAGACTGTAAGGCAGCATATCCATCAGAAATGACCTTTAAATATGCCTTAGCTCAGAATGCCAAATTAAAATATTACAGACCAGGGCTGGGGAGATGGCTCAGTAGAATAAGCGCTTCCCTGGCAAGCGCAAGGGCCTGAGTTCAATCCCTGGTTCCACAAAAAAAAAAAAAAAAAAAAAAAAACAGACCAACAGCTTAGCCAAACTGTGTTTTCTCACAGTGGAGATCTGGACGCAGTTGGCGCTGGTGAGGGCTCACTTCCTGCGCTGTAGACCTCCTTGGGCTCTCACATGGTAGGAGGCGTGAACTCTCTAATTCCATCCGCCCTCACAGCTTCATTTGAGCCTCATGATCTCCTAATGGCTCCGTCACCAAGTCCGGGCACATGGTGGGTTAGGGCCATGGCATACGCATTTGTGGTGGTGGTCAGAGCAGCCCAGCCCCCAGCAGAATGGAAAGGCCCAGACTTCTGAGGACAGGCCGCAGCTTGGATCGTTTTGCATGCCCTAAGGGATTATCATACATCCAATCTTGAGTCAGGTGCTTAAAAGATTAAACAAGCTCCCCTAAGGACTGATGCTTGTTCCTAGAAACAGTGACAAGTAGGTATTACTGAACAACCTGACACGTGATTTTGGTCTTTTAATTTTAATTTTTAATTTTTTTTTTCTTAAAGAATACAAAATAGTGATAGAAAAAAAAAAACATAAACAAAAACAAACAAAAAAACCCCAGCATTAGAAATGATACAAAATAAGAATAAAAAGAAAAACAAATTAGGCGTGAACTGCTCCTTTCAAAGGATCAGCAGAAAAAAGAAAAAAAAAAAAGACCAGCAGAAATTGGCAGTACAGTTATCCAGACCATTCTGCCCATATACATAAAAATGTCTTTTTCCTTTCTTTCAGTTGTCCTTTTCCTCATTCCAGTTACTCCGTCCCATTGAGTAGATTCTTTCCCTTTCACAATACCTTTCAGATTTTAATTACTCTTTCAGGTTCTCATGCTAGTGAGATACTACTAGTGATTTTGCACATTTGGATCTGAATTATTTCACTTACCAATGCAATATCTAGCTGAAGTTGAAAGGGAAGCAGTTTTCCCAAACTCATTCAGATAGACAAGTATTACTGGGATACCAAAACCCGAGAAGGACCCAACCGTAGAGGAGAACTACAGGCGAGTCTCCCTAAGGAACATAGAGGCAAAAATCCTTCATTTTGGTCTTAGTGCCATTTTACATTCAAAGACTTGGAATTCTAGGCAGCAGCCAGTTGGCTGGTCACGACTGAGACCATGGGAAGCTAAAGACCACTGGTGTCAGCAGCCCCAGGCACTCACCTGAAGAAATTTTTACTAGCAAAAGAGGAGATTCTGAGCATCATGAAGAACAGTGACTGTATAGATGGAAATGTAACAAGTGCATTTTTAAAAATTCAATTCACAATATGTAACTTTCTGAATTTTTATCAAAATGGGAAAGTGATAGAGGAAGTCCTGAAGTGCACAATTGCTGAAAGTAACAGCTGTTGTTGGAGTACTAGCCACGTTCCCAGCCTTGGATTCACAGCTTTATGTATGCTACTGAAGACGTTCAGCTCTTTGAAGGGGGTATGGTAGCTGGACTTATTTTGACAAGTGTGTGTGAGTAAGTATCGTCAGGGACGTTGTTGTTACTCTTCAAAACCATCTGGAGTTAAGATGTCATTTTTTTTTTTTTTTTTTTTTTTGCGGAACCAGGGATTGAACTCAGGTCCTTGTGCTTGCCAGGGAAGTGCTTATTCCACTGAGCTATCTCCCCGGCCGATAAGATATCATTTCACTGGCTTATGTTCTACCAAATTAATGGTGAAATATTTTATCTTGATGATAATACTGACTTTATAAAATTGACATTTTTTAAATAGGTATCAGTATTATTTGCAGCTGAAGAAAGATATCTTGGAAGGAAACATTCCCTGTACTTTAGAACAAGCAATTCAGCTAGCAGGCTTAGCTGTCCAAGGTAAATAATGCATATTAAGTGATTAATGTTATAGTTAATAATGTAACAGTTCTGTCAGATTAAAATGTGTAATAAAAACAGTAACGGTTTCTTAAAGTAATTAGCTTTCTATGTATATTTTTAGGGGTGTTCATATATTAATGAATAAATATGCTGTTAATTCAGGGGCTCCACTGTAGAAAGAAATGTATTTGAATTACTTCAGTGAAATATGAGATTTTTGGAAGGTTAACCATGTTATATGTATAAAGATGTAGTGAACAGAAATGCATATACTTTTAAAACAGTTAATATGCTATATATTTATGTAGCTGCAGGAGTTGGCATGCTAATTTTTTTTTTTTTTTTGGTGGAACCGGGGATTGAACTCAGGCCCTTGCACTTGCCAGGGAAGCACTTATTCTACTGAGCCATCTCCCAGGCAACTATGAGCTAATGTTAATCAGCAGGGTTGAGAAGGTTATGTTCACTTTAACTGCACTTCATTTGTTTGATTTTAAGGGATTTTCCTGGCTTGTACAGTGTCATGAGCCACAACAGATAATTCTGCATTTCCTAAACGTCTTTGGGAGGTGCTGAGTGTCAGGCTCTGCCTCGTGCGTGCCCAGCAAGTACTGCATCACGGAGCAGCCTGCTCAGACCTCACGTGCTGTTTTTTTGGCTAGTTCAGGCTGCCTTAATGGCAGGTCTGCTGCAGCTTGTGGAGCTGGGTGTTGAACCGCAGTTCCCTGTGCCTGACTGCATTTGCCTAAGTGGAGCTTTGAACAGCTGAGCTATCAGGCAAGCTCCCATCATGTGCATTTTTGAATTGTGTACTTTTTATGTGCTTGATATGCACGTAGTTTATTGTGCGTACGCACATATTTGATATGTGCGTATGCACTCTGGAATGATTTCTGAATGCATGTCATTTCAAATGATAATTGGCATTTAACCTCGAGAAGTGAAATTTAATCCAGAGAATCACTGATAAAATTCCTCCAGTGGGGCTGGTGAGATGGCTCAGTGGTCTAAAACACCTACTTAGAACAAGCTTCGCAAAGCACAGGGACCATGGTTCAATCTCCAGCACCACATGCCAGCCAGCCCTGCCCCCTGGTGGGCTGAGCTGCCCCCCCACATAAATAAATAAAAATTAAAAAATTCCTCCAGATATTAATAGGTATGGAGACATGTTCATTTTTAAATGTCTGATATATGTGGAATCATATTCCTCTTGCAAGTACTTTTAATTTTCTTAAGTATACTTTTTCAGCTAGGTGTGGTGGCACACGCTTGTAATCCCAGCACTCACAAGGCTGAGGCAGGAGAATTGCTGAGATCAAGGCTAGCCAGAACTAATAGTGAGATCTTGTGTCAAAAGAAAAGAAAAAGAACCCAATACCTTTTCTTAAGTTTTTTTTTTTTTTTTTTTTTTTTTTTCACAAACTTAACTTTCTATTTAATTTAATTTTTTTCGAGACAGGATCTCATCATATAGCCCAGGCTAGCTTCAAACTCACCATTCTCCTAGCTCAGCCTCCCAAGTAACTTTTCACTTTTTAAAAAACAGTAATTTCATACCCTCCTAATCCAGATACGTCTTTCTTTAACAAATATAAATGATCTAATTTCATTCCCCACCTTGGTTTCTGCCTAACATTTTTCTTAAAAAAAAAAAAAAAAAAAGAGAACATAGCCAGGTATGGTGGTGCAAGCCTATAATCCCAACCCTTGGGAGGCTGAGGCAGGTGAATCACTACAAGTTTGAGGCCAGCCTGGCTTACACAGTGAGTTGAGTCGAGCTTGCACCGCATAGTGAGATCCTGTCTCATAAAACCTAATTGAAACAAAACAACCCCCCCAAAACCAAACACATATGCATACCATTATAGAATGTTTTGCTTTGTTTTTAATTATAAAAACCAGAGTATATTATATATAGTTTGTAGCTTTTAAAAACTTGATTCATAAGCATTATTCCAAGTCAAAACACATGAACCTACCTAATTAATACTTTTTGATGCTTAGGAGGCTGAAAATAGGAGAATTACTATGAGTCCGATCTACATAGTGAGACCCTGTACCAAATACATCTTTAAAAAAAAAAAAAAATATATATATATATATATATATATATATATATATTATTTTTTGAAAGATACTTTATACATCCTGTAGTTTTCAGACAGATTTGGGTAAGCACATCTCTAGGCTGTACATTGTGCTATGCAGATTAAATAAAATCAACATGTGAATGTCTATCATTTTGTACAGCTGATTTCGGAGACTTTGATCAATATGAATCCCAGGACTTCCTTCAGAAATTTGCCTTGTTTCCTGTGGTAAGTCCTCTGGCATTGGGCCTTAGTCACAGGTTTATTCCTGTACCCCTAGAAATTCCCGACATGAAGTCCATATGGTGTATGCTTCCTAGGCTGGAAGAGTGTAAAAAGCTCAGTTCGTCTTGCAGGCATCGTAAATGTCAGTTCTTTCCGTACTGTACTCTTCTTGGTAATTGGAAATGTACAGAAACAAGTCTGAAGTCATTGCTGTCCCTAGAAAAATTAGTTTTCCATTTGCACATGAGCCTAAGGGGGGAATTGTTTTTGGCGTCTAAGAACCACAGAGAGGATTTGGTTTTAACAGAAGGCCTGAAACCTAACACAGTTAACGCTGAAATGAATTTGATGTCTTATCAGCAATCTAAAAGGACATTGCCTCTTGCTGTTTCAAGTTGTGGCTGATGGAGGTGGCGTGAGAGCTGCCTGGCGTGCTCCACGGGCCTGGCACTGCCAGCCAGAGCGTGCACAAGATGTTTTCACGCTGGGTCAGAGCCGGCTGGCGGGTGTCACCGACCTGAAATAACTCAGCTGAAACTTGCTCTGGAATGAGCTGAACAGGGAGGGCAAGTTTCTTGGCCTCTGCGTAGGAGCTGCTACATTCCTTGGATCCTGATTACAGCAGCAGCAGCGCTCCCATTACTAATACTAGGCGTGATCCTGCCTTAGTCGAGAGGCAGTCGCAGCGGCGTTGATTCCTCCTAAGAGATGGACGTAACTGTGTTTTCTTTAGGGGTGGCCCCAAGATGAAAAAGTGTTGGAAGAAGCAACCCAGAAAGTGGCCTTACTACATCAAAAGTACAGGTAATGGGCTGGTGAGATAGCTCAGTGGTCTGAAGCATCTGCTTAGGCAAGCTTAGGCAAGTGCAAGTATAGCAGGGACCGTGGTTCAATCCCTGGCACCCCATGCCATGCCAGCCCTGCCCCCAGGGTGGGCTGAGCCGGCCACAAAAGAAACAAAAACAAAAACAGGTAACACTAAGAAATAGGGCACGGCAATAGTATGGAATTGTTCCGTTTGAATTTGAACTCTCTCGATGCATTACATTTAGAATCTCACTGCAACTACAAGTAGCAAGTTGGTCCATTGCAGTCACTGTGTGCGGAGTGCGTTCAGGGGCACTGGCCCACATTCATCCACTCACCAGTCATGCTTTACCCCTGAGGAAACGAAGGAAATGAAAAGCAGCCAGTCCCTGAGGGCCGCCAGTTCAGCACCTTGGATGTTACGTAACAGATCTTATGTTATGCAACAGCATAGAGGAAGGCAGTGTTGGGGAGACTGTTTTCCTTCCGGGGGCAGCACATGCAGTTACTTCCCCTAGGGTATTTTAGAAGCAGTGTTTCTCTTGTCTGGGAAGCTATGATAGGAGCTCTGGTTCTACCCCTGCTGGTGGATATGACTTTCTTTGATGGTGAATCTCTGTGTTGCCTATTTAAAAAACCCACCCTGAGGGAATGCTAGCTCTTAGTCTACGCCAAGTATCATACAGTTCCATGTTTTTTATATGCTGTAGAATCATACAGCTCTAGTACTCTTTAAGGTCAACATTATCTCCACCTTGGAGATGTGGAAACCAAGCTCATAAAGACTTTGGTCTTCCCATGTGGCAGTGGTGGGATTTGAAAGCAAGTCTGGGGGCTGGGGAGATAGCTTGGCGTCTATAGCACGGACCTAGGTTTGATCCCTGGTACCACATGCTGTGCGGGCCCATTGTGCAGCAGGCCACCAAAACCAGGCATGGTGGTGCACACCTATAATCCCAGCACTGGAGAGGCTGAGACAGGAGGATCACTATGAGTCTGAGCCATGTATTGAGATCCCATAACAAATGAATAAATTAATTAATTTTTTTAAAAAAAGCAAGTCTGCAAGTCTGTCTGATTATAACCTTTTGGATTGTGGCAGGTACAGGCTGTGGACCCTGTGGCTTTACTCTTCCTGGGTACATTACTGCTAAAATACACCCCCAGCCTGTATTCCCCATGTTCTCTTCCAAATAAGCCTTTTGCCACTCACTAGTTTCTCTGCACTCCAGTCTATACAAGCATTCATAGATGATTAATCTTCTAAAATACCACTTTCCTTTTATCTCTCCCCCTCTTCCTCCCAAATATTTGTGGGTATTTTCTAGCTCTCTATGAGCTGGTGAAGCCTTTCTGTCTCTATTTTCTGCTCTCTAAATGAGCATTCCCCCCCCCCAGCACAATTGGTCCCTGAGGCACACAATGTCCTGCTTGTGTCACGTTCATTTCATTCACTTTTGCTTTTTTTCTTTTTTGGTGCCTCCCCCCGCCCCCCACCCTGGGGATTGAACTCAGGACCTTCATACTGAACCACAGCCATAGCCCTTTGGTTTGGACTTGAACTTGTGATCCTCTTAGCTCAGCCTAAATCATCCAGAGTCCTGGGATTATGAGGCATGCGCTATTGTGCCCAGCTCTTCTACACCTCCTTAAAAGACAGTCCCAACGAACGCATCTGTACTCTGCCTTTGTGTGAGGCAGAATGCTAGATTGGCTCAAAGATACAAACAATAATTTCCTGCCTCCTAGAGTGCGTTCCCTGCCTGGCTTTCCTGGGGATGGGCAGGGCAAGCATTCAGCTGTAAATACAGTGATGAGGTAGGGGAATGGGTACCCTGGGAGAGCTGTGGGCAGCATGGGTTATGGCTGCCCCTGGGTGGGGCTGTGCAGTGGTGAGTCCAGAAGGTGACCAGGAGGAGTGACACACATGCTGAGTTGCAAGGGGTACTAGGGATTGTTCCAGTCCCTCGTGGGTGCCAGGTATGTGGGGACGAGAGGTCCAGATGTGTGAGAGAGTGGTGCATTAAAGAAAGGTAGAAGCAACAGAAGAGGGGGCTCGATTGGGGTCTCCATGCCGATGAACACCCCTTCTTCCATGCTGCTTCCTACTCATCTCTGTAGTGCCCCCGACACTGAGCTAAGAGAGATTTTCCTCTAGCCATCTCCCGTTGTTTCCTCCACTTACTACTTGATATCTAGCATTTGATTCTCAGTCTAAGATGCAGGATGTTATAGATCTTGCCTTCTGCATCCGGCACAATGCTTGGCTGGTAGTCAGCGCTTGATAAGTATTGAAGCATTTGATGAAACCAATTACAGATGCTCAGAAGCCTGAAATGCTTATAATGTCTTATTCCAAATTTGTATGTAGTCTTTAAGAAAAGCTTTATTTAAAACGTGTCCTATCTCTGCAAGCGATCTCAGTAATGTTGAGTGAGCCCTCTTGGGTTGCAGAGGGCTCACAGCTCCCGATGCTGAAATGCTGTACATGCAGGAGGTAGAAAGGATGGACGGCTATGGAGAAGAGAGCTACCCAGCGAAGGTAAGCAGGCTCGAAGCCGAGGCTCTCCGCAGCTGGGATGGGAACTGGAGAGAACAGCAAGGAAGCCTGAGCGTGCTCTGAGGCTCAAGTGTGGGAAAGCGCCAGTCCTATGTCCAGCATTTGGTAGTACAACACGCTCCTACTGTGCACTTGGTGCTTGAAATGATCAGGAGACTCCATTCCAGTTTTCATACATGTTTACAAGATGAGATCTTCTGAGCGTTTTGTATTCAAGTTTGGGGAAACAGTCTTAAGGAGCTGTGTGTAGTCACTGCAGCTCTTCAGCCTCTGCTTCCTGAGTGGCTCTTTCTCTGCTCTGTGCTTGTAGGACAGCCAAGGAAGCGACATATCCATCGGCGCCTGTCTCGAGGGCATCTTCGTGAAACACAAGAACGGAAGGCCTCCTGTGATCTTTAGGTACGCTCTCTCCTTTCTATGCGTGCTTTCTGTGGCTCCTGTGGGTGACGTTTTCATTTTGCTCACAGGTCTCTCCCGAGGTCTCAGTAGAAAACAGAAATACTCCCTTCCTAGACCAGAATGCTGCCCGAGAGTAGTGAGCGGTCCATTAGTGTGCCGCTCTCTGCAGTATCGATGTGCAGAAAACAGTGCTGCTAACAATGGCCTACTTATAAAATGCTTCAAAATTCATAACCCTTTTCTTGCCATGTGGAGGCCATTCTTTGTTTTGATCTGAATTTTTCACTTGAGCTCGGGTTTCTAGGGCTAATTGTTGTGGAAAATTTAGACCTTTCTTTTCATTCTTCTTATGTAACAAAATTCCTCAAATACCAACATCCCGACAAACTTCAATTACGTTTTGTAATGTTTACCCCCATTTCATAGAAGTGATCCTGCTCTTCATCTGTAGAAGCCTTGGGGGGTACATAGTGGACCTGATATGCACACGTGTGCCAATGGTCCCTCCAATCGGGGCAAATTTCTGAAGGTTGAAGGGAGAGGTAGCTTACATTTCCTTTTTAGTATTCTGTGTTCCAGTTGCTATCTGAAACACAGAAATTGGATCATATTGTCAAAATCTTCCATTATAGTTCCTTAAAATTTCTCACCTTAGAAAATCCAGTGTCACTTCCCAGGAATATTTGCACTTTCACTCTGAGATTCTGTTTTCTCTCTTTTTTTTTTCCCTATCTTCTATCTTGATAAAAATATTAAACATTTATATGTTTTATAAAGAATTAAACATACCCTGTCACTTTTGGGTTTGGTTCCTTTGTGTCTGCCACTTACGGAATGTGCCGTATCACGTACAAGATGCTATGCTGAGTGCTTTCTTCGTTTTTTCATGTGATCTTTATAACAACTCTGAGTAGCAAGTGTTGCCACCAGTTTACATGTGGGATATTTGGGCCTAATAAAAGCTGAGAGATCGGTCCATGGTCTCCTAGTTATTAACTACCATAGACAGAACTTATACCCAGATTATATATTACCACCTGTAAACCTGTGCTCTTGTTTACCATATTAAGCGACTCCTTTTGTTCCTCCTATCTCTTCCTCCCCCACTCTCTCCAGCCTGCACATACTGTCCCAGCTTTCTAAGCCAGCACTGTCATTTCTTCTTTTTTTTTTGGTCATTTCTTCTTGACAAGCAGTTTTTTCTTTCAAAACCTTTTTCATTGACTGGGCATGATGGCAAGCCCTTATAGTCTCAGCTACCAGGAGACTAGACCCACGCAGGAGGATTGCAAGTTCAAGTCTGAGTCCCAGTGAAACACCCCAACTGGTTCAGTCCTTGGTTCCCAGCCCTCGCGCTTCATCTTCACCCTGCAGTCTTTCAGAGTCACCCTGCCTCTGCCTTCTCTTGTGTCCAATTCCAACATTCCGCAGTGCTTTCTTGTTTATCTTCTGCCTCGTGCAGCCCCACCAGCCAGAGTGCCCCTTGGGGGACAAGGAGCTGTACTGTTAGTGTCCCCAGGACCTGTGCAGTCTGGCACTGTCACGACAGGTGCCCTTTGCAGTGTTGAATGAACACTTGCAACATTGGGGATCTCTGAACATCAAGCTAACTTAGCACAGGAGGATACTATATTTTACATCTTTCAAATGCTCTCTTCCTTCATTGACTTCAATGCATTCATTTTTGTAAGTAGCTGTTGCTGCTTCAATTAGAGAATAATGCTGGGAGATTAAAATGACTCTTTTATTTCAAAACGATTAATAGATAGTAACTTTTGCTCCAAGCTGAAGCTCCAAGCTCATGCGTTCTGTTTCCTCTCCCACCCCTGAGCACTCACATTGCTGTCCCTGTTGTTTCTTTCTCAGGTGGCACGACATCGCTAACATGTCCCACAACAAGTCCTTCTTTGCATTAGAGCTGGCAAATAAGGAGGAGACAATCCAGTTCCAAGCTGTGAGTAAGACGAGGCATCTGTCGAGGCATCTGTCGGAAGACTCCTCAAAAGAGCAGTTAGCATTTCTGTGAGGCTTTGGAGGGGAGGGGTAGCCTTCAATTGTAACGTTTCTTCATTGCCTAAGAGAGGAAGTTGTGTAATGTAGCATTTTGAAAAATGGGTGTTAAGTGGTGGCTTGGAAAATATTGTTGAGTAAATGAGTCTTTGGACAGGTGCTATCTTTTCCTTTCTGTTAGTATTGGGGATTGAATCCAGCTCTGGCCCTTTATTTAGTTTTTTTTTTCTCGGAACCGGGGATTGAACTCAGGCCCTTGCACTTGCCAGGGAAGCGCTTATTCCCCTGAGCCGTCTCCCCAGCCCTTCTTTATTTAGTTTTTACTTGGGGCCCAAGTTGGGAAGAAAATAAGTACCAACATCTTAATTCTGGTGATAAGGAATAGTTCTGCCGCAGTATTATGTAAAAGTTATCTGTTTCTGCTCTCTTGACAAAGGCAATATGGAGTCATGTTTTGCTTACAGTCTTTGAAAATATTTGTCAGGAATAAAAGTGGGAATTTTTTTTTTTTTTTTTTCGGAACCAGGGATTAACTCAGGCCCTTGTGCTTGCCAGGGAAGCGCTTATTCCACTGAGCCATCTCCCCAGCCCAAAAGTGGGTATTTTGATGTTTTAAATTTCCAAGGCCTATTTGATATCAGACCTACACAGTTAGGAAGGTTTTTTTTGTTTTTTTTTTTTTTTTAAATTCATCATTGAAATCCCACTTGTAAGAATCATGTCCTAGGCTAGGTGTTAAAAAACGAAAGAATCGCAGTGCACAGGAAATGACCTTGTCGTACTGTTGCCTCCACGTACACCTTGGCCCCAGGTGAAGCTGGTGCAGAAAGCGCCAGTCACACTCGCGTGTGTGCCTCATGTGACTTTATGCATGTTGTGTTTGCCAGGAAGACATGGAGACAGCCAAGTACGTCTGGAGACTCTGCGTCGCACGGCACAAATTCTACAGATTAAACCAGTGTAGCCTGTGAGTATCTCCTGCGTGTGGGAGCTGTAGAAAACAGCGCACTCAGAACTTACTCCTGAGCTTCCCTGTGTATCTGAGTTGTCAAATGATAACTTTTCCTGATACTTGCATCATAATCTCTTTGCTTTGTTGTATACTAAAATGACATTTGTTACCCAGGGCTGGTGTTGTCTGTATGTGTGACCCTAGCACTCTGGAAGACTGAGGCAGGAGGGTTGCAAGTTGGAGCCTCGGCTGGGCAACTTAGAGAAACCTAGTCTGAAAATAAAAAAAAAAAAAAAAAATACCGGGTGGGGATTTAACTCAACGCAGGGACCTTGGATTCAATTCTCAGCATGACAAAAAGAAAAAAAAAATTCCCTCACTTTGGCGGTAGACCAACTTCTAATAACTACAGTTATACCTCCAGACTTTCTTTCTTTTTTTTTTTTTTGATTTATTTGTTTTATTTTATTTTGAAGAGTAAAAACAAAAACAAAAACATACAGCAGACACAGACAGAAATAGGACAACATATAGCAGTACATATGTTACAGATTTTCAAAATGAGAATAGCTAATTAACAATGGTTGTTACATTATCTTTTTTTTTTTAAAGTCAACAGAAAATGGAAATATACTTGTTAAAGTTTCTAATACTAGGAGAAGATATCATACAATGTCTTTTAAATAAGTTGTAAGTCAAAGATACAGTATAAATCTTAGAACAAAAATTAAGATTAAGCAATATTCAGAAAATTAAATGTTTCAAAATAATTGAACTAAGAAAAAGTTTTCATGATAGCAAAGAAGTACTAAGAGTAAAACATAAGATAAA